CTTAGAAAATAAATCAAATTTGATCATCAGACAATATATAAAAAAATCAAGTTTAATTTCTTTGGGTAATATGAAATTAAGTTTAAAACATCAGACAGTATCACATGAATAAGTTACCATACGCTTTATGCATACAAATAATTAGCGGATGCAAGGTACCAAAATGCTCAGAGAAAGAAGTTAAAACAAATAAATTATTTAAAACAAGTTGACCAAGTTAAACATGCGCTAAGTTTTTGGGGGAAAATAAAAAATCACCCAGTTAATTTAGACTCCATTTAAGGTAGTTGTAATTTTAAATTTTAATTTTAATAAAATTTTGAAAGTTTTGGAAACCAAAATTAAAAATAAGTAATAAATAATTTGTATAAAACAAGTTATAATCCCAACGAGATCCTGAAAAAATATTCCAAGGAATGAAGGAAGCCAACTAAAAGTTGTTGTTTTGTTAATGAGGTAAATAATTTAGTGATCGTTTTTTTTGTTAAAAATAAAATATTTTGAATTTAAATAATGTAATATATATCTAAAGTGAAATAAAAAATAAAATATAATTACTTTTTATTATGTAATCAAAACCAAATAAAATAAAAAAGTTAGACATGATTTTGGTTTGGGAAGTTTGTCTGGGCACAATATATAATTGATTATAATAAAAAGGTACATAATAGGAAAATGACTGGGCAATTTATTTTGCTCACAAGCCAGGAACCTAACTTCTCCTAAAATAAAAAATACTAGAGTGTTTTGTCCATTGATATAATATTTTTTGAAAAAAGAAAGTAAAAATTAAGATATTTTTGTATTTAAAATGTTAAGATGAAACAAGATTATTTTGTAAATTTATTCAAATATTTTTAGTAAATTTTTTTATATATTAATTCATTCAAAATATTTAAATTTTTTTCGTTTTAATTCTTCATATTTTAATTATAACGTCTTCGTTTTCTACAATTCTATATTTTCTTTTCTCCGAACTACACAGATTTATTAATTCCAAAGTCCTTTCATAAAAAATTAATAAAAAAAAATATTACCTAAAATACAAGGAGTGGTTTTATACGATGCATTTTGCTTACCATGAGGTAAGGTCATTGATCTCATGCAAGATGCATTTTTCTTATCTTTCATCCATAATAATTTTCACTCGATTGCAATATCTCTCTCTCTCTCTATATATATATATATACATATATAGACACATATAAATATCTGTTTATATAAATTTTATATATTATGTTTATATAAAATTTTTATTTTTTATTTTAAATAATTAAGATTGATCATGATTTTTTATATAAAAAATAATTATTTTTAATAAATGTGATAAAAAGTGAATAAATATCAATTATTAAAAGTAAAAAGATAAATAATAAATTTTTTTTATAAATATAATGTGTAAAATTTATGTGTAAGTTGATTTTTATATAATATAAGAATTGTATATAAATGAATTCTTATGTAAAAGAATTTAATTACACATATGTTTTATATATTACATTTATATAGAATCTTAACTTTTACTTATACATAAATATTACATATGATACTTATATAAAATTTAATTATTCATGTTTTTACTTTTCAATAATGGAGATTTATTAAGATTTTTTAAATAACAAATAATTATTTATACTAAATATGATAAAAATAAATAAATTTTAATTATTAAAAATAAAAAATAAATTATTAAAAATTTATATAAATATGATATATAAAATTTTATGTAAATAAATTCTTACACTCTGTGTATAAATAGTGCATAAAATTCATATATTAAAATCCAAACTCTATATTAAAAGTTGAACTTATATTATGAATTTATTAAAAATATTTTAATAAATTGAGCTGAATTTTAATGAATAGTTGATCCCGTAAAACATTTTTTTTTTTAGTATATGGATACTGCCAAAAGAATGATTAGGGGCATTCTTCACCCAATCTTTCCTGCGGATTATTAGTTTCGGCAGCCGGCTTCTGGGTCGCCCGCAACGTCTGTTCCATCAATCTCGTCTCTCATCCGACCACACCCTACTTCTGATATGGGTATTTCTCGGTTCTCTTCTACAACTTAACCTTGAATGTGACCTCAGTTCATTTTTTTTCCTAAATTTGTTGACTTTCCTGTTTCTTTATAGGTTGTTCAGTGCCCATTTGTGATCCTGTTTTAGAGCTGCTTTTGAAAGAATCCTGAGAAATGCTGGGTTTAGTGAAATTTCCACATTGATCTTTCTTGGTCGGATTGTGTTCTTTTTTGCTTGATATTTTTTTTGGCTGAAATTGTTTTATGTAATTTTTACAGTATTTGAAAGAATCCTGAGACATCCTGATACTGTTGACCCAAATCATTGCAGAGCAGACTTGATGGAATTTGAATCCAAGCCAATATCAAAGAGAAGTCAAATCTTTTACTACTCGTTTCGGAACTTCCCGGCTCGACTGAAGTCCATAGATGCTTGCTGCAAAGCAATGAAATTGCAGACTGGCCTTCGCACGGTGAAGTTGGAGCAGACGTGAAATGGAGTATTTGCTGGAGAAGAATAGGACGTTGGAGAGGCAGAAAATCAGCTGAGTGCTCCTTCCATCGATTGTTCTTTCTTTTTGGCTCATTTTTAACAATTTATTTGATATCTTTGTTGATCTTGGTGGGTAGTGATTCGAAATCATATCACATTGAAAAAAGCAGAATCATATATAATGTAATTCCAAATTAATTGAATCCCAACCCTGTCATTGCTACTACTTGTTTTCCTCTTTTTGTCTATTTTTTCTGTCAAACTTTTAGATTCCTAAGAGCTAAGATGCATAATTTTGCTGACTGTGAACTAATTTTTTTTCTCTGCTGATTGGTAGTGTTCTGTATCTAAATCAATGTGATGATCTGGAGCTGAGTGAGTAGGACGAGGAGGTGGACACCAGAAGCAATGCTGCTAGAATTTGAGGTCAAAGAATATTTGGTTGCAAGAGCTCAGGGCACGCAATGAGACGTTAGTGCATGCCTTTTTCCTCTTTTTGTTTATCTTTTGACATTTTATTAGCTAAGATATTTTTTTCATAATAATCCCACCTCGGCCATCCCTAGCTAGGTTTGAGCCATGACGAACTCAAAAACCCTTTTTGTTGTAAAGAGCATGCATGCATTTGGGAAAACATGGCTTATATACTACAGAGAAGGTTTTGAAAGAATGCAGTTAAAATTGAACAAGTACTAGTGTTTTGGGAAAACCTTTAATAACTAAATGGTTACACAAAATGTACCGATATTTGCATAAAACACTGTTAGGCTTTACAATCGTGAAAGTGGCATAGGAATCATTTTAGAGAGAATAGGCTCATAAAATAAGTGAAGTAGCTTATTACGAAAAAAGATGAACGGAACAAGTGTTATGAAGTATGCTTGTATATAGATTTACAGTCCAGTTCATTGCAAAATATACAAAAGTACATGGGAAGTTTTACAGTGAAGTTCCCAAAATAGTATTTCCAAAATGAGTGATTACAAGTCAGCTATATGTTTCCAAAAGGCTTAGCTATACCCTACTAGTTTGTCTTACCAAGTCTTATGATCAAAAGCTTAAATCTTGGACCATGAATGCCTCCCCTTTTTCTTCTACTGCTTATGATATGCCTAAAATTAAAGGAGTAGAAACTGATAGCTAGGGTGAGCTATAAGGCTTGTAAGTGAGAGTTATGAACTAATCTATAGCCCACAGTTAATTATGTCAAGCAAACTATTAACAGTTAAGACTTAAGACAATGTAGTTCATAGAACTCAAGTTCAGTACCAGTTACATAGAGTCAAGTAACATGCATAAACAAAATTAATATGTTTTATATCCATTATTCCATTCTTAGCAGGCTTCTAGTTCTAGGCATGCTAAACAGTAGATAGCTTACAATAATAATAGAGCTATGGAGTAAGTCAATATGTGCATGCACTCATGTAAAGAGTCAATCACAGTACACCCATCTGTGCAGAGATCAGTAAACAATAAAGTAGTTGCTCAATATGAGCATGGTAAATACCCAGACTTTGGCTTTATGCTGGTCACACCCGTAGCATTGCATTTCACTTAACAGTTAGTTACACGCAATATGGCATCATATACTCATAGATAGGTTAAACAGATAGATGTAAACTTATGCCACTAGGAAACATACATAAGCTCCAGGAAACAGTTGCATCAGTTCAGAAGCATAGCATAGAATCCCAATACTATAGGCATAGCAGAACATATTGTCACTTTACTAGAAAACCTTGCATGCATGTTCACCTATCACTTGTGGAACACAAAATTAGCACCTGCATGTTATCATATTTTAATTTTATGTTGAATCTGGTCTTTATGCTTGTTTTATCTCTATATTGCATCACATACTCATAGATATAGTCTACATTGCATCACATACTCATAGATATGGTAAAACAGATAGCTGTAAACTTATGCCACTAGAAATGCTTGAACATAGACCATCTTTGATATTGAAGAAAATACAAATTCATGGCTTCCATACTTGACATAAACACAACTGAACATAGATATCTATTTGTAACTGGTAAATTGTCTATGATAAATTGCTAGCATTTCCGAAACTGCATCTAGCTTTTCCAAAACTCCATCATCACATCCAAATGCTGATTTTTCAAGTCCCACATAACAAAGTGTGCTCAAGTCTTTCAAACGTGAAATAAACACAATTTTGTTAATAGGGTGAATGCTAAGTACAATTAGAGCATATTTGTCATTGGCAATTGTTGAGTTAGACTTCCAAAACTTTACCATGTCTTCAAAACTTTAGGTTGTTAAGTCCTATCTTGGATACAAATTCCTGTCTCTTAGTGCTGTTCTGCAGATACATCTCAACACAATCATTGAGCATAGTGAAGATTGTAACATTAGACATTTTCAATTCCAGTTGAAGAAATAAAACCCAAGATGTCAAAGGTATGGAACAGCAGAAAAAGAAAAATAACTTGACAATCCACTTAGTCATGATTGAAGTGCTTGATTGCATGTCAAAGAAATTTCAGAACATCCAATTTACCCCTGTAAACAGTTTTATCCACAATTTTTGAATTCTGATAAAAACTTCTAATCAAATTAGATTGTCGAGCATTTTCCGCTCAAGATAATCATTCTCATTGGCGGTATGAATCAAAGTTTGTGCATTCTTGACCATTGAAAGTATGCTAGGAATATAGGTAGAGTCGGAGGACATGATCCAACTTGTCTTGAGCACTCCACAAGAAAATTGGATTCAACACGTGCTTCCTAAGTAAATAGGGCCAAATGTTTGTAAGGAAGAAAGCAACAAAATTGCAAATGCAATAACAATTTAGAGATTTAGAAGTTAATTGTTCCTCATTCAAAACCTTCACAAACGTTGCATCTTCCACCAATTTAGAAGGAGAATTTGAGGACGGTATACACTGACCATATCGGGATTTGGATGATGAGTTTTCAGAAATAATGTAATAAATCAGACGCCTCATGGGTTCAGATTTTTTGTTCATGTTAGGAGTATGAATTAACATCACAGCAAAAAAAGAGAAAAAAAAAAAAAAAGAAGAAGAAGAAGAAGAAAAAAAGAAGTCTAAGACAGGAATTTGTATCTAAGACAAGACTTAACAAACCAAAGTCTTCAAGACATGGTAAAGTTTTTGAAGTCTAAGCAGACAATTGCCAGTGACAAATATGCTCTAACCGTTCTTACTATTCCCCCTATTAACAAAATTGTGTTTATTTCACAATTGAAAGACTTAAGAGTAGACTCTTTTTGGTTGGACTTGAAAAATCAGCATTCGGATGTGATGGAGTTTTGGAATTGCTAGCAATTTATCATGGACAATTGGTAGTTATAAATAGATAATTATGTTCAGCTGTGTTTATTTCAAGAATGGAAGACATGAATTTGCATTTTCTTCAATATCAGAGATAGTCTATGTGCAAGCGTTTCTAGTGGCACAAGTTTATAGCTTTTTTATGAAATGCTGGTGGGCAATTGGTAAAAATCGGCACCATAGCTTAATAAGGACTCCAACTCTTAAGAGTTTACTAATTAAGGATCTAACTTTTTTTGTTCTTAGAAGTGGATCTCAGCTTTTTAATTTTTCTATTTAGAAACTCAAATCCAACAAATGCTTAAAGGTGTGGGCAGTTTGGTTTTGTGTTGTGTGGTCTATATGGTTATGGAGGAATGGCCGAATCTTCCAGGAGGAGGCAACTTCAATGGAAAAGGTGGTAGAGCTTGTCAAGTGTCAATCATTTTTCTGGATTAAAGATAATATACAGTCTGATCTCGACCGGGATTTATGGATGAGATTACCGACGGAAGTCTGCAAGTTGCAAAACAATTCATGGATCTAATTGAACACAACTTGCTATTTTGTGGCTTAGATTATTGGATTTGTACGCTGATTGGTAACTATTTTTTGGTAAACAGGTTTGCAGTACCCTTGTACTCCTATTAGTAAAACTTATCATTTTGCTGATTTAAAAAAAAAAAAGAAAAAAGAAAAGAAAAGAACAACAACAACAACAAACAACAACTTATAAGGGAAGAGATTTAACCGAAGAGTATGAAATGGGCAAATCTCAAATGAACTCATTCTTTATTCCAAAAATGGTGCTAATGATTTAATTAGGGGATGTGCATACAAAAAAAGGAAAAAAAAATCAAGAACGTGCAATGATAAACCGCAACTCTTCTTGATGGAGGCGGTTGGCAAATAACAACAAACATCATTGCCGTGACCAGAAAAAAATAATTGGATGAGAATGAAGAGAAGAATAAAAATGCGTAAATGATGAAATAAAAATAAATAAAATGGGGCTGTCTATAAAGAGGAAACCTCACTCTTATCCTCACCACTGACAACGCCCAAGAAATTCTGGCACCACACCTCCAATTGTTGCTCTTTCACTCCCAGTCCCAGTTATCATTAAGCTGCTTCTCGTATTTTAGTGCCTTTGTCTTTTATCTAACCTTAAGCTGCAGACCGTGGCCACTGCCAAACTCCAAAACACTACCCATATATATAACACAAAAATTCATCTTCTTAATTTTCATCCTTTTTTAATGACCGAGAGTCCAAGACCTTAATTAGGTACCACCTCAACCCATGCCTTACTAAACTTTGATTGCACCTATTGCATCTAGCACCAGGTAAAATTTGGGGATTTCTAATGGTAAGGTTCAAACGCACGTTAACCCCTAAAACTTATCATTGATATGATGATATGTAGATTTTCCCGTGTGATTATAGAGGTTAAGATCCCCACAAGTTTGGGATTGGATTGGTAGAAAAGAGTATAAGGTTACAAGCAGCTATGTATGTAGAGTCAAGCACCAAAAAACAAAAAAAAAAAAGTGCAATGTATATGGAGAGTCAGTTAGTGCAACATATGAGAGGTTTCATGTTTCTCATTTTATCTACCAACCAAATAAAATTTGTCAAAAGCAATGGCTTCTCCTGGGACTGTGGTTCGTGAATTGTTATAACTGATAAGGACCACTTGCATCTAGAGGGCAATAATTAATATACAAATGCATAAAAACCAAAACTAGTCAAATATGCATATATCGTGGATTTACTTGCATTAATTTAAAATTAATTGATAATGGATAAAGTAATATTTTTTATATATAACTTATATATATTTTTATTATAATCTTATGTGAAATTTTCTTACTCATTAATATGGATATAACCCTTTGTAATCGTCCATGTGGTTCAGTGATCACGCTGCCCATTGAGGTGAAATGCATGCTGATAATAAATTCGACTTTCTTATAAAACAGATATTAACTAACCTAACTTAGAATGTCATACTGTAAAATATATATATATATGTGGATATAACTCTTTATTTTTTTAATTAACATATATAGTTATTCAAATCTTTAATTAATTTGATTAATTCTACGTTTACCTGCAAACCATTCCAAATAACATATTGCTTAAGCGCAAGAGGGTGATGAAGGGTGTTAAGGACTGCTGGAGGAGGAAGGGTCAGCCTCAATTTAAGGCAATGCATTTAATAAGCGCAAGAAGAGTAGCGGTTTTGAAGAATTCAGATGAATTTCAACCTTCAAAACTAACGTGTTTCGGAATTTTGAGGCATTGACTATGTTTGTTGGACTACTTTAGCGGCTAGCTAGCTTTTTTTAAAGTCAAACTCTACTTAACCATAGCTTTGAATCTATTCCTCCTCCAATTCATTTCCACGTGTTATTTCTTTTGGATTACGGTGTTTGGATATTATTATTAGCTTTTCATACTTAAATTAATTTTAATTTGGATTAGACACTAATGTTGCCTATAATATTAGTCTTGAGTTTTGCATAAACTACTAACTTACCCTTCTCCCCCATACAATCACTAAAATGAAGCCGTTTGTAAGAAACTAATACATGCATGCTGTATTTTTGCCATGTTAAAGATCTCGTTCGATAAAATTTTTTTTTTTGTTCACCTTAAATTAAGACACATCTATAGAGAAATTAGTCAAATTATTAGAAAAAAATGTGTTTTATTTTACTCATAACTGAGATTTCAACTTCTATTTTTTCTCTCGACCTCTTTTTTTCATGAAAATTTAAATTATTTTTAAAAAAATATTATTTAAATTGTTTACTCAATTAGCTTGTCTCATAAAAAAAATGTTTAGCTTGTATTAGTTCTCTTTTATCACAAAATTTTTTTTTTGTTATCAACAAATCAAACAAAACTTCTTAATTAAATAATATTTAAGTTGCTTTTTAACATTTAAAATGCTAATAAATAAGTTTAGAAGCATAATGAACAAGTAGCGTTGTCAAATGGACCCCAAGTCTATCTACCATATATACCCGGTAAAGGAATTCCTAACACCTTGATAAGGTAGGGATAACTAAGGTTACCTTGGATGGATGCAAAGAACCGGTAAAGATAACATGTCCATCAACTCCCCATATTTTATATTGATTATTAAGAAAGAGACCAAAAGTCTAAAGTTTAGGATAGAAGTAAATGCAACATGTCAATAAAGGACACCCACCTAACTCCGAAACAATAATGTCTAGAAGAAAGGTTCTCCATAATTTAGAATTTTCATCTCCTTCTAGAAAATTCAAAAGAAGATAGTTAGTTAATTAGGCAGAAAAACACAATCAAAATATTCCGTTACATCAAATAAATATATACATATTAAATTGCTTGAATTTTTTATAAGTAAAAGGAGGTAATGAGAAACTTTGGCTATTTGGTCTCAATAACATTTTTTAAAATTCAAAAATTTTGAATCATGTGCAAAATGGAATCAACCATACATACCTGAAAAATCTGACTGGTGGCCTTGTTGCTCTGTTTCCTACACCCTGAAGAAGCTGTCACTTCATTTGCGTTTTTGCATTGGAACAAAGTTGGATTGCTAACATTGGAATTTTACATTTATTGCTTTGAGCATCTGACCTGATGGTGAAGCACGGGGAGACGAGAGTAAAGTGAATTCTACTTACGAAGATTTTTCTCTTTTACTCTTGACTTCAATAGTAATACATTTGCTATGTACATATCACTAAAAGTTAAGGTCATCAAAATTGAAAGTTTACATAAAATTGTTTTGATTAATGAAATTAGAATTGTAAAATTAAACTAATGATATTAAGAATTTGTTAAATTTAACATATAATATATACCTAAATTATATACATACATGTAATACATGTAATTTAAATGAGATAATAAGAAGCTAAAAGTGTGATGGTAGTCCGAGACCCTCGATCTCGAACCCTTGGAACTTCTCATCTTCTTGAGTTAGCCCCAAGCTTAGATTGCTTAAGGGCCGAGTTGGGTCCTAAGACGAGTTCGTGCTCTTACAGTTTGTCCATACTTGCTCAGTATTGACTTACAAGATTTCCGCTATCATCGCCACGACGAACCCCAATTATTTACTAAGATAAATATGGATATTTCTTCAAAACCTATAAATATTCTTAGTAGTTTCAAATGCAATTAAAACCGATTTCAAAAGCAATTGAAATCGATTTCAAACTCTATTTTTATCCTTTTCTTAGTAAATTTGATTATTATTAATTTAAATATTAGAGTGTTTATCTCAAAAACTAATTTTAAATTTCACAAGTTGATCCGAAAAAAAACGTTTGGACATAAGAGAGCTTAGAAGTCTATTTGCAGTTACAAAAAGTGTATATAGGCCATCTAAGTCAAATTTAATAAATTCTAAAGTAAAATGGCTCAATTATTATTAAAAGTGATTCAATTATTAAAAAATAAGTTTAATTTTACACGATTTCATAATTTCACCCTAATTCCATTATAAATTTATAGGATTGCATTTCTAAGAGTGATTTTGTATGAATCCTTAATCTAAAATCATAAAATTACAAAATTTTACAATTAAAAACGCGATTTTGATAACACTACCAGTACCTTAGAAGTAGTTTAGCCAACATAATAATCTAACAGGGACGCAATCATTTCCTGCGAAGCAGAAGAGGCAATTACTACTTTGTTTGCGGCATTTTGTCGACCACATTTGCTGCTTCAACCAGCCTTCTGAATTTTGTCATAAATGCCAACCTGGCATTAGAATTTAAGAAGGCCGGCGTGGTTGGTGTAGAATTGTGATTTCCTTGTTTGCTTCGTGTCTTTTTTTAAGTTTTGTCTCTATCCAAAGAAATTCCAAGACTCAACTTTTTTTTTTAATTAATATTTAAACACACATTATTCAAGTTTAAAACGGTAATTTGGAATAAGTTTGTCATTATTTTTATTTTTTTAAAGTTATATAATAGACAATAATTTTCTCTTATTTCTCAACCTATCTCATTTGTATTTGTATGTTATGTGTTTTAACTTTAAAATTTTTTATTTTTAATAAAAAAATTATCATTAAATTATTTAGATCATTGATAAAATAAGTTTATTCAAATTATATAATAGACAATAATTCCCTCTTATTTCTCAACCTATCTCATTTGTATTTGTATGTTATGTGTTTTAAATTTAAAATTTTTTATTTTTAATAAAAAATTATCATTAAATTATTTAGATCATTGATAAAATAAGTTTATTCAATCTCTAATACATA